AAAAAAAAAAAAAAAAAAAAAAAAAAAAAAAAAAAAAAAAAAAAAAAAAAAAAAAAAAAAAAGTGTAAATCCATTACCCTTAGCAAAAATGGCTATAAAAACAATATTAAATAGTAAAATAGCACAATATTCAATAAATAGTTGTAACATTAACTCAAATTAATTTCTTAGTAAAAAACGATAATTAATGTACAACATAGGATGAAATATGTGTAATTCGTGAGGTTGAAACTAAGTAGGTTCATTGAATTTTCCTTAAAACCCTTTCGATTCCCTTCATCTTGAGTTTTATCTCGTCTCCTTCAACTTTCTAATTAGTTAAACAGTTAAATTTCATCGATTCATTTCAATCTCCGTCTCTATCGACTTTGCCGCCATGCATCAACAAAGGTATGTACATAGCCCTACCACCGAAGAAATATAGATAATATTTAACACGACGTAGTGAATCATTGGATAAAAATTTAAGAACTAAATTGGCATAATGATTAAAGTTTATGGGGGTGCACTTATAATTTAACCTAAATTAAATAGCTACCTTAGAGAAAAGGGTAAAAAAAAAAAAAAAAAAAAAAAAATGAAAAAATGTTGAATTGGGGGGAGGGGGTTCTCCTTCCCTCCCATATTAGGGAAAAAGTGGTCAGCCAAATAGCATAACATAAGCCTATCTATCAGATTTAGCACAGCAAAATCAGCAAAATTCTTGACCATCTGCTGAAGACAAGAAGGCACCAAAAGCTCTCAAGGTGGTTTCAACCGACACAGTGTCGACCACGAAGCTCGTCATTACTCCTTACCTTACCTTACCTTACCTTACCTTACCTCCCTGTCTTGGCCCGTTTCAGTCCCGTGCTGTTAAACGGCGACATGCTCGGGCTCATACTCGGACTTTCCTCCCTTAGGGTGCCATTTAGTAATGCGAGTTCTCTTAGTTGTTGCTTCTTATATTGATCAAGCAATTCATCCTGGAATACACAACAACTCCATAAGAACACGACTTCATAATAAAACGATCAGAGGTTTAGTCGATGTGGGCGTTGTTTAGTTCATACCACAGGCTTCAATAGGCTCTCTAAAACGGCTACGGCATGATCCAAGCGCGAGTTTATCGTATCCTCCGGGAATTCTGCCTCAACCAACAGATGCAAGGGTTCATTAAGATGCTCATATCCAGGCTTGTCCTTTAGTTTCTCTTCCTAAAGCACACAACATTCAGATCCATTGTAAGTACTATTGAAGATTTAAGTTAGGACTAGGAGATTCAAAACTTTTAGTACCTCCAAAGCATCCTTGATGGAGCCCTTGCCTCTTATGTACACCCGACATTCCGTTAAGGCTTCGACTCTTTTCAAGGAGTTTCCGCGCGGTCCGAGAAGTCGTCCAACGAAGTTATACTGACATGATTTAAGCAACAAACTATGAACATCAGAGAGGCAAAAGGTCAGTAATATCATCACCTAACGTAAGAATATCGACTCACGTTTGGATATTTGTCAACAGGTACATCAAGTCTAACGACTCTTTTAACTATCGGCGTAGCAGGAATTCCTCCTTGCACCCTTGGCCAACCCATTGAGTGAGCTTGAAGGGAACCCATACCATGGACATGTCCACTTCCCTGCCGTAAACATGTCATTAAGCACGGGTTTTCTAAAAAAAATCAAGGACACGGATACAACAAGTACACATTTATTGAAATGTATGCCTGTATGAGTTTGATGTATTTCACTCCAAAAATCTATTAATTTTTGTTCTATTACCGTTCGTGTCTATTTATTATGAGATCCCACATCGATTGGGGAGGAGAACGAGCCATTCTTTATAAGAGTGTGGAAACCTCTCCCTAGCAAACGCGTTTTAAAAACTTTGAGGGAATGCCCAAAGAGGACAATATCTGCTAGTGGTGGACTTAGGCTGTTACATAGAGTGTCCAAACCTTGGAGGGAAACCCGAAAGGGAAAGACCAAAAGGACAATATTGGCTAGTGGTGGGCTTAGGCTATTACATAGAGTGTCCAAACCTTGGAGGGAAACCCGAAAGGGAAAGACCAAAAGGACAATATTGGCTAGCGGTGGGCTTAGGCTGTTACATAGAGTGTCCAAACCTTGAAGGGAAACCCGAAAGGGAAAGACCAAAAGGACAATATCTGCTAGCGGTGAGCTTAGGCTGTTACATAGAGTGTCCAAACCTTGAAGGGAAACCCGAAAGGGAAAGACCAAAAGGACAATATCTGCTAGCGGTGAGCTTAGGTTGTTACATAGAGTGTCCAAACCTTGAAGGGAAACCCGAAAGGGAAAGACCAAAAGGACAATATCTGCTAGCGGTGAGCTTAGGTTGTTACATAGAGTGTCCAAGTGTTGCACACATGTTGTCATAGATACGTTACTTATTCTATGGTTCTGTTTCAAAACACGAAGAACTACTTATTCTATTTTAAGGATACATAGGTTAGAACCAAGGAATTCCCCAGTAGTAATGGCTCGGGATGTTTGGAGATACCCTACAAAGGTCTGAATTCAAGCCCTCGAGATGAAAATTTAATAACTCGAAACACTTGTATCTCGAATCTAGGCTATTGTCTTTCTGTATTGTATTCTTTCATTCATTTAAAAGAAAATTAAGTTTTCCATTTTTAGAAAAATATCCTTATACAAAGAAAATAGGGATCAACGAGAAAGCGTTCATATCGAAAAACTAGCAACACGGAAAAGAAGTAGATCAAGGACAAATATATATTTACCTCCATTTGCATTGGAGGCCAACCTTCCAAGTCCATTGGTCTTCCATTCGAGAGCTGACCTAGTGACCGGTAAGGACTCCCGTGCTCAAATCTCTCATGATCCACAGAAGTTTGATTAAGGCCCGATAGACGTCTGATCTCTGAAATGAGATGTAATAAATAAGGCGTGCACATGCAATTGACTAAGAAAATGCTCGTCTTATATAAGGAGTGCACATGCAACTGACTAAGCAAATACTCGTGTAAGATGACGACTCCGAAGATAAATGGCTAGCTATTCATGAAAAATTACCCGTCATTGGGAACTTTTCTCACGATCATGTCTCATGTCTCATGTCTCAGATTCATGACATCATCACAAGTTAACGTCATCTTATGGTAATTGATTTTGTCTAATTAATTACGACTTGACAAAGTATCGAGTAGGCCAATAGGATTCATCTTTGGCTCCATCCACACAGAGAAAATGAAACGCTCTTGGACATAGTAGGCCTTAGTGTAACCGCTCAAGCCCACCGCTAGCAGATATTGTCCTCTTTGGGGTTTCCCTTCCGAGCATTCCCTCAAGGTTTTTAGAACAAGTCTACTAGGAAGAGGTTTCCACACCCTTATAAGGAATGCTTCGTTCCCCTCTCCAACCGATGTGGGATTTCACAACCCACCCTCCTTGGAGGCCCATCGTCCTCGCTAGCACACCACCCAGTGTCTAGCTCTAATAACAGGCTAAGCTTAAACTTAGATTGACCCGACCCACATTACAACTCAATGATATAAGATAAGGCTAGTATTTAATAGCTGCCAACAAACAATGAGAACGCTTAACTCCGTGTCACAAAGACTGACTTCCAACCTCTCCTCAGACAACATTCCCATTGCAATACATAGCCACAAAATGTCCCCTTGTTCGTAGCCTCTCCACGAAACTTCAGTTCCGATCATCTAATCTCATGTATTTTCGATATATAATTCACATACCAGTCCATTCTCGAGTCGAGGGAGTAAAAAACTTCTTCCCAATTGATCGTTACTCGTTTGCTTCTCTAATCGTATGCTCGGTTGTAATTAAATTTGTTCAAATGATCAAGAAAACAGTGTCTACCCATAATAAACTTCAAAGGAACAAATAATCCAAACTACAAGAAACAATAATAAGTATTGCAACAACATAATGCAATAGTAGAGATCTTATAACCCCACCTTGATTCAAAAGTCTGCTACAATGAGGTAAAACTTGCACAAAGGGACCCAACTTCTGTCTCTCTGACAGTAATTCAGCTAGATATCTGCCATTGTCACACAACACAACATCACTAAAAGCTCAATAGGGCTTCTAGTCAGTATTCAAATGCAATGACAAAGATGATCAAACCAACACAAGAGAGTTAAAAAGTGGGATAAAAACAGAATGACATGATCAATCAAACAAGGAATCTGAATCAAGCAGTCCAAAAAACAAAAAAAAACAAAACAAAAAGCAAATCATGATGAAGAATTGAGAAACAGAGAAAGGGAAATTACCTCTCCCGATCTAAGGGAATGGAAGGAGTCCTGTGAGGGGATGCATGGGCAGAAGGGGGAGGGTAATGGAAGTAACTCCCAGGTGGGGTTCTCTCCCCCATAACGCATAAACTGAAGAACACAACAAAATAGAAGAAACCCAGAAGTGGAATTGGGTTAATAAGTGGAGAAGAAGAGTGAAATTAAGATATCCAACGAAGAACAGAGCGACCCAGATAGAGAAAGAAGCGTACCTTTGCAGAAAGAAAGGGGGGGGGGGG